AATACCTATGCTAATGTCTAGAGACCAGAAACTAAATTCAATTCAGGAAGAAATATTTACTTACCTCTGTCACATTCTTACGTTCTTTCTATTATTATACTTGTTTATATAATGTCATTCCTCCAACCCCTACCAAAGTATAAGATCTTTAAGAATTGAGATGATTTGTTGTTTATCATATACCTTATCCCTTAGCCTAATGCTTTGTTCCTATGAACTACTATTAGGGGCTGTGAGTTCCACTGAACTGAAATGACTTGGTTAAGTGTGAATGTGTCTACATGATTAAAACATTTCTAAGGTTATTGCATTGGAGGAAATAGAGAGAACACATATTTATTTTAATTAGATTTCTAGATCCAGCAAACATGTGACTTGTTAGTTTTATCTTAGTGAAGAAACATTTCCTAGATATATAAAATGTAGTCTCTCTTTCACAAAACGAAACTAGGGCACCCAGCCAATGTTTTTCCTATCTTATCAACTGAATGGATAGGTCATATCTTGTTTTTGTTGTTTTTGTTATTGTTATCATCATTACCTGTGGGTCAAAGTATAGTTGGAAAGGATTGTCCAAGTCAAGAAGCATTTATTAAGCACTTATGTGCTAGGCATTGTTCTAAGACATGAGATTACAAAGAAAGACATACATATGCCTGCTCCAAGGAGCTTACAGTCTAATAGGTGATACAACATACAAACCACTATGTATAAACAAGATATATTTGAGGTAGATTATTGAGATAAATATTTGAAATCTTTATCTCAAGTGTAAGGCAGTAGCATTAAATGAGCCAGAAAAAAGGCTTCTTTTAGAAGACTAGCTGAAACTTACAGGAATCCAGGGAAGCCAGGAGGCAAAGACAAGGAGGTAGACAGTTCCAGCCACAGAAGATAGCCAGTGAAAAAACACTGAGTCAGGCTATGGAGTGTCTTATGTGAGGAACAGAAAGAAATCTGTCACTGAATCATAGGTATAATGGAAGGGAATAAGATTTAAGAAGACTGAAACAGTAGGAAGGGGCAATGTTCTAAAGGGCTTTAAAAGCCAAACAAGGATTTGTTTGATGTAAAGGTAATAGGGAGTCACTGGAGTTTATGGGAGGGTTACATGATCAAACTTGTGCTTTAGGAAGATTACTGATAGCTAAGTGGAAGAGGGACTGCAGTGGAGAGAGGCTTGAGAGAGGAAGCCTAACCTTAAGACTACTGCAAAAATCCCTGGGTGAGATGATGAGGGTCTGCACCACCATTGTGGTCATAGTATCACAGTTGATATTGGGGTATATAAAAGGACTTTTGTGAAGGTAGAATCAACAGGACTGAGCAATAGATTGGATATGACAGGGATGAGAGAGAGTGAGTAGTCTAACATGACATCTAGATCTCAGATGACTGGGTGATTGAGAAGACTATGGTACCCTCAATAGTAACAGAGAGGTTTAGAATAGGAGAGGATATGATGGGTAAAGATGAGTTTGGTTTTGGAAATGTTAACTTAAGGTATCTACAATAAATCTCTTAAAATGTCCAATAGGCACTTAGAGAAGAAAGACTGGAGGTCAGCAGAGAGGTTAGGGATGGGCAAGTAGATTTGATAATCATCAAAATAAAGATGATAATTGAATCCATGGGAGCTGATGAGATCACAAAGTGAAATAATATAGAGGGAAAAAAAGAGAGACCAGGAGAGAAGTCTGTAAAGTACCCATGTTTAGCAGGTGTGATCTGCATAAAGATCCAGCAAAGGAGACTGAGGAGTGGTCAGATAGACAGCAGAAACAGGAGAGAACAATATCATATGAATCTAGAGAGAACAGAGTACAATGGAGAAGAGCATGACTTACAATGTCAAAGGCTGTGGAAAGGTCAAGAAATATGAGGATTGAGAAAAGTTCATTAGATTTGGCAATCAGGAGATTATTGGCAACTTTGAAGTGAGAAGTTTCAGTAGAATAATGAGGTCAGAAACTAGCCTGCAGAGAATTAAGAAAATCAGAGGAAAATAATTGGAGGCACCAATTGTAGATGTCATTCTCAAGGAACTTGGACATGAAAGGGAGGGCAGGGATAGATGAATAGCCAATGAGTTTAGATGGATGAATTCAGCACTTTTTGAAGATAGAGAAAGCATGGGAGTATTTAAAGGTAACAGAGAAGCAGCCAGTAGACAAGGAAGGTCTGAAAATCAGTGAAAGAATGGAGATAATATAGCAAGAAATCTGCTAAAAAAGATAGGATAGAATGAGATCACATACATTTGGAGGAGTTTGCTGGGGCAAGAAGAAAGACGATCTCTTCATATGTTCTTTCAAAGTCAAGCTCTTATGTTTTGGCTTTCCATATAGTCTCTAACTTCTTCAGAAGTACTGATTTACCCAGAAATCTAAAATACTGAGACAGAATTAGAAAACAAATGAATTTTCCACTGCATATATTCAAGGAGCATTATCAACAGAGTTTTGTGATGGGTTCACTTTGCTCAGGTTTGTAAATGTTTATCTTACCTGCTGTCAAGACACATAATGGCTCATGTTTGAGAAGACCAAATGGTCCCTTCTGGGTATGCTTTCCTTATAAATCCCACTGATGTACCTGAATCTGACTCTAGGAAAGGCATCCTGTCTTCTCACTCTTTTGGATTTTTGTTGCATTGTCCACATTTGTTTGTTTTAACTCTCCTACTTTCGCTCCTCATGATCCATACCAACCTGCTCTCTCTGATCAGACATGTGTCTTCTTGGCAGTTCCTAGATCATAAATTTGAATAGTCTAGATAGAATTTTATTCATTATTGAAGCTCATATTTGGAAGAGTCCTCAAAGGCAACATATTACAATATAAACTTAAAAAGTAATCCCTTCTCTTCCTTTTCTAACCCGTGGTCATCCAAACTTTGCTTGAAGACTTACAGTAAGAGAGAATCTATTCCCTTTTGAGGTACCTCATTCCAATAATTTAGATTTTTTATGCTTAAAAGTAGTTTTTGCTTTTGTTTTCATTTTCCTCTCTTACCTTAAGCTGAAATATGCTTATCTTCAACTTCTACCCATGGCTAATAGTGTTTTTCTCTGGGGCAAAGCAGAACAAGTCAAATCCCTCTTCCAAGTGACAGCCCTTCAAATACTTGAAAGCAGCCATCATGCTTCCTCTAAGTTTTCTTTTTAAAACATTTCATTGCTGTATACCTGATACATAACCACCTTTTTAAATCAGATAATCACATTTTTATTTAAATTGCTGAGTTCAGGCCAACATGACAAAACAGGAAAATGATAAATGTTGGAGAAGATGTGGAAAAATTGGAACACTAATGCATTGTTGGGGGAGTTGTGAAATGATACAACCATTTTGAAGAGCAATTTAGAACTACGCCCAAAGGGCTATAAAAATGTGCATACCCTTTGACCCAGCAATAGCACTTCTAGGGCTATATCCCAAAGAGATCACACAAATGGTAAAAGGACCTACATGTACAAAAATATTCATAGCAACTCTTTTTGTGGTGGCAAAGAATTTGAAATTAAGAGGATGCCCATCAATTGGGGAATGGCTGAGCAAGTTGTGGTATATGAATGTGATGGAATACTATTGTGCTATAAGAAATGATGAACAGGCTGACTTCAGAAAAACCCGGAAAGGCTTGCATGGTCTGATGCTGAGCGAAGTGAATAGAACCAAGAGAACATTGCACACAATAACAACCACATTGTGTGATGACTAATATTGATAAACTTAACCCTTCCTGGCAATACAAGGATCTAAGACATCTCCAGAGGCCTTGTGATGGAAAATGCTATCCACACCCAAAGAAAGAACTATGGAAGCCAAATTGCTATTTTTTTTTCTCTTCTGTTGAGTTTTGTTTCCTCTTTCTGATGGTTCCTCCTATTGGTTTTAATTTCTACTTACAACATCACTAATGTGAAAATATGTTTAATATGAATGTAAATGTATAACTTATATCAGATTATACACCGTCTTGGGGAGGGTGGTGGGGGGGAAGGGGGAGAAAAATTTTAAACTCAAAAGCATATGGAAGTGATTATTGATAAATCAAAATAAATTAATAAAAAACAAAAAAAATAAAAAAATAAATTGCTGAATTCGAATTTGTGTTTAAATATTGAGGAGCATAGCTGAAGTTGGTGAACTGAGGAAGGCAAGGGTAATGGAGACTGGTAGTACTAAAAGCCTGGAGTTTGCAGTCAGGAGACTGGCAGGCAGTCCAGAACTACACAAACAGGTCTGGTGGACAAAATCTGCACTGTAATTGAAGCAAGGTCCAAGGTTGCCTGATGATAGTCAGGGGAACCATGGAAGTTCTGGAGTGAACAGAATGTGTCTTAACAGTGTTAATCAGCTGGATGGAAAACACACTCATGCAATCATATTCCAAAGACACAATGCTTGAACCATGGTTTCCTTTTCATTCTTCCTCAATCTAGTTGTCTCCCATCTACACATGCTAAGAATTTTTTAATACACTCTTTATGAAAAAAAAAAAAACAAATTACACAGATTCTTCTGAGAAGTGATAGACAAATTAGTTTTCCCCTTTTCCATCTCAAGGCATCAAGATTAAGGTTTATGATTAATGATTTGTAAGTCAATTAATCAACTGTGGCTTTTTAAACCTCATTTCTCAAATTACTTCTCTTTCAACAAACAGTCTTTTTGACGTCTCCATAGCGTCCCTAGATTCACTTTCATGTTAATTGAAATTCCCAGCTATTTTTTATTCTTCCAAGTTTATTGGTATAACCTATTTATGAAATATTTGCAAACGCATTACTATTCACCTGTGATATGTCAAGGGTAAGTAGTAAAACAATACTTTATGCTCCCAAGTACTGAAGAAAAGGACAATAAAAATGCTAATTATGGTCTGCAAAACTCAGGGTTCCTGAAACTATACCTTTCCTTCCAAATGAAAGGAAATGTCATTGGGCAAGTCTGCTCAGTCCATATGGTAACAATTACTTTCTGCTTTGTTTTAGTTTCATGCCACTGTCAATGAAGGAGTTGTGGGAGTGATTGTCAATTTAACGGTTGAAGACAAGGATGACCCCACTACTGCAGCCTGGAGAGCTGTCTACACTATCATCAATGGAAATCCAGGGCAGAGTTTCGAAATACATACAAATCCCCAAACTAATGAAGGAATGCTTTCTGTTGTCAAAGTAAGAACGGTTCTATTTCTCTCTTTCTTCTTTGGTGGGAGTTGAAGGAGACCCAAAATAGATTGGAAGGACACTGTGGTTTAGGGGAAAGGGTACAGAATTTAGAGACAGTAGATCTGGATTTAAAACCTAGTTGAGTTTTACCACTTCTATAACCTTATGCAGGAGGCAGCTAAGTGGATCAGTGGATAGAGCACTGGGCTGGAGTCAGTAAGACCTGAGTTCAAATTCAGCCTCTGACACTTAGTAGCTGTGTGACCCTGAGCAAGTCAGTTAACCTCTGTTTGCTTTAATCCACTGGAGAAGGAAATGGAATGCTACTCCATTATCTTTGCCAAGAAAATCCCATGGACAGTATGGTCCACGGGAGTATGAAGAGTCAGACATGAATAGATGAGCAGCAATAACCTTAGTCACTTAATTCATTGTCCTCTCTGGTGCTCATTTTCCTAGTATGTAAAATCAGCAGATTGAGTTTGATGATTTTCAAAATCTATGATACCATGATTTGCATACTCTTAAATTTGAATCCAATTCTGTATCATGCACACTAAAACATGTATGATATTGAAAGCAGTTAGAATAGAATGTATAGAATAGAATAATATACATGAGTGCTATCAGCAGGAAGCCTTCCTATTTCTGTCCCTTTGAGTTGCAAAGATTGAATTCCTACAGTATGCTAGAAGACTAGAAACCATCTTTCACATCATGAACCAGGAACCTGTTTCTCATCTGGAAAACGAATTACAGAGAACTTAAAATGTAACTTGAAATAATGTTTCTTCTGCAGATTTAGTTTAATCCCATTCTGAGTTTCTGAGTTTCCTTGTGCTTAATTGACTCGAATATTGTATTTTGCAACATTTGATAATAATCTTGTACATACATTTTGTGTCCCCTCCCCCCACTTTACCAAATCTTAGGAAAATATATGAGCATATTGTAAACAGCCAACAATTCAGTTTTCACTAACCTTTCAATAAAACCATTTGCTAGAGAAGCCAAATAAGCCAGGCTAGCCCTAGGTTTCTTTTTCCCCCATTTTACTTAATAGTATTTTGTTTTTTTTTTTTCCAATTACATGTAAAGATAGTTTTCAATATTTATCTTTGTAAGATTATTTTTTTTTGGTGGGCTAGGCAATGGGGTTAGGTGACTTGCCTAGGGTCACACAGATAGTAAGTGTCAAATATCTGAGGCCAGATTTGAACTCAGGTCCTCCTGACTCCAGGGCCAGTGGTGCTCTATCCACTGTGCCATCTAGCTGCCCCAAACTTTGTAAGATTTTGAGCTCCAAATTTTTCTCCCTCCTCCTTTCCCTCCCCATATCCCCTCCCCAAGATAGGAAGCAATCTGATATAGGTTATACATGTACAATCATGTTAAGCATATTTCCACATTAGTCATGTTGTGAAAGAACACAGAACAAAAGCGGAAAACCATGAGAAAGGAAAACAAAAGCAAAAGGTGAAAATAGTATACTTTGATTTGCATTCAGATTCCATAGTTCTTTCTCTGAATGTGGTCAGCATTTTCTATCAAGAGTCCCTCGGAATTGTCTTGGATCATTGCATTGTTGAAAAGAGGTAAGTCTATCATAGTCGATCATCACACAATGTTGCGGTTACTGTGTACAATATTCTCCTTTTTCTGCTCATTTCACGCAGCATAAGTTCATGTAAGTCATTGCAGGTTTTTTCTGAATTCTGCCTACTCATCATTTCTTAGACAAGAATAGTATTCCATTACATTCATATACCACACAACTTATTCAGCCATTTCCCAATTGATATAGTTCTAGGTTTCAATGAAATATAGGTTGTGGGATAAATTAGCCAAAATAACTCCTTCCAGGGAAGTTTCATGGAATAAGCGAGAAGGTAGCTTTGTGGTAAGACCATCTTTTCCCTGGAACTGAAATCACCCTAATGCCTAGATGATTGCAATAGTCTTTCTACCTCAAAACCCTCTTCACTCCAGTCTATCCTCCACTTAGCTGTCAAATTGATCTTTCCAAAGCCTGACAGGTTTGACCATATCAGTCCCGCTCCCTTCTTTTCAATAATTCCACAGTGGTTCCATACTACCTCTAGGATCAAGTATAAAATCCTCTACCTGTCTAGTAAAGCCTTTTGTAACCTGGGCCCTTCCTAACTTTATAGTCTTCATACACATTACTCTCCTCCACATGTTATCCTATCCAGTGACACTGGCCTCCTTTCCATTCCTCCCACATGACACTCCATCTACTGATCCTGAGAGTTTTCAGTGGCTATTTCCCATGTCTAGAACACTCTCTGTCTCTGTGTCTGTTTGTCTCTGTTTATCTCTGTCTCTGTGTCTGTGTCTGTCTCTCTCTTTCTCTGTCAGTCACTCTGTGTCTCTGTCTCTCTGTCTTTCTCTCTGTGTCTCTGTCTCTCTGTGTCTCTGTCTGTCTCTCTGTCTCTCTCTGTCTCTCTCCACATCCTAGTTTCCCCCTTTTCCTTCAAGCATCAGCTAAGATCCACCTCCAGCAAGAATTATAATCTAAGAGTTTTCCCTCTGAAATCACCCCCAATCTATTTCATGTATATCTTGTCTGCACATGGTTGTTTACATGTAGTCCCTTTTCCCCATCTCACTCCCCCTACAGCTGTGAGCAACTTGAAATCAGGGGCTATCTCTTGCCTTGCTGTGTATTTCCAGTGTTTAACAAATGCTTGCATGTTATAGAGACTTAGTAAATACTAGTTGATAGACAGATCTTCTAGGTTTTCTTAAATCCTTGGAATCAAGATCTATAACTTCCTTTGGCAGATTATTCTGAAACTATAGCCGAGGTTTATCTGTTTCTCTGTTTTTTTTTTTAAGCTAACCTAAATGCGTATTGAAGTGTATATAGTTTGTTTATCTTAAGGCAACAGTATGGTATAATAGAAAGATCAATGGCTTAAGAATCAAATAATCTGGGCTCAAGACACCAATAGCCAGGGGAAGTTCCTAAACCAAAGTATTTTTAGTATGACTAAAAGCCTTGAAAATAAAATTTACTTGAGATACAGAGTGTCCCAGAAGTCTTAGTGTACTTTTGAGCTACTAAAGCTTAAAAAAAGCAACTATTATAATGTTTACATTTGGCCATTGGAGGATATAGCTTTTCCAATGGTCCAAAAGTCTTAGTGCACTTTTAAGCTACCTTTAAAACTTAAAAATGCAGTAAGAGTTTTGGGACATGCTGCATACCTATTTTTTTTAACAGATTTATGGACGTATGATTTCATCAGGGTTTCCTGACAGTGAGGCCAGCTCTCTACCCATTGTACCACTCTGCCTCACAGCAGACATACACACATATATACACACATGCCTACACATACATGATCACACATGTGAACCCATGGCTACATCTACATTCACCCAAAAAACCCACTTCCAGGAGATGGTTTTGAATATTGCCTCCTACCCCCATTGGAAAAGTTATATCCTCAATGACCAAATGTAAACATTAGAATAATTGTTTTCTAGTAAAATGCTATTTGTTGTTTTTAGTAAATAGTATTTTATTTTTTTCCAATTACATGTAAAGATAATTTTCAACATTCATTTTTATAAGATTTTGAGTTCCAATATTTTCTCCCTCCTTCCCATCTCCTCCCCAAGACAGTAAGCAATCTGATATAGTTTATATATGTTCAATCCTGTTAAACGTATTTCCACAGTAGTCATGTTATGAAAGAAGAATCATATCAAAAGGGGAAAGCCATAAAAAATAAAAACCAAAAAAAAAGTGGAAATAGTATGTTTCAATCTGCATTCAGACTCCATAATTCTTCCTCTGGATGTGGTTAGCATTTTCCACCATGAGTCTTTTGGAATTGTCTTGGATAGTTGTATTGCTGAGAAGAGCTAAGTCAGTCACAATTGATCATTACACAATGTTGCTGTGTACAATGTTCTCCTGGTCCTGCTCACTTCACTCAGCATCAGTTCATGTAAGTCTTCGTAGGTTTTTCTGAAATCTGCCTGCTCATCATTTCTTATAGTACATTAGTATTCCATTACATTCATATACCACAACTTGTTCAGCCATTCCCCAATTGATAGGCATTCCCTCAATTTCCAATTCTTTGCCATCACAAAAACAGCTGCTATAAATATTTTTGTACATGTATGTCCTTGTCTTTTTTTTTTAATGACCTCTTTGGAAAGAATGCATATTTATTCCAGAATTTATCACCCAACTCTGACTCAAACTACATAGACTTGGAAATTGTTCTTTACCTCTTTCTGATTTTCTTTAAAGCCCATATTCCAGAACTGAGAGTACCAAACTGATCATGGAATCAAAAATCTCAGTCAGAAAGGACTTTAGAGTCCATTTAGTCTAACCTATTCCTGAGTAGAAATTACTTCTCTTACCCTACTAACAAGTGGTCTGCATCCTATGTTTGAAGACCTTCTATAAAAAGAAGCCTAATTCCTTTTCCACAAAGGCTGTCCAATATTTGAGATAGACATCCCTTCTCCCCTTCCCACCTTACTTTCTCTAGGATATATTTAGTTCTTTGAAATTATCTTTTAGTTTTTCTATGCTCTTCCCAAAATATGTCACTAGAACCAAGCACAATACTGCTGTAGCATGACTAAGGTTAATTAAGGCAGGATGATCATCATTCTCATTCTATACTCTAAAACTTTGTCTTTATAGGATGGGACTGGAGGAGCACAATGAATGGTGCCCCCAACCCAGAATTTATTTTTAAACAATTGTTGCAGTAAGAAAGACCTGGGATGTATGGGTTGCCATATTGATCAAAAGGGATATTGGCCAGTGAACCCAGGCAGGGGATGGGAGCACTTCCCATCTGTAGCTTTGTGTTTACTACCCAATTGCAAATTTAAGAAGCCAAACATTGGCAATTCACATTTTTGCCAACCTATATTTATCAGCTTTCCATGTTTGGTTGAAGAAATATTAAGTGAAAGGGTGTAACATAAATGTTACATTTTTATTGGCTTTCCTGAATTCTATGCTTCATCTAACCTCATTAGCCAATTACTGATATGGACTTAATGCCTTATTTGACTTAACCTCAAGGTTCCAAAATATCATCAGTGTGGGTATCATCTCTGCTAATAATATAGGTTGTAGTTCTCTCTGTGGTCTTAGAGAGCTGCTAAGGCTGGCATTCTCATGAAATGGGGATACCATGGTCATAAGTGCTTCCAAAATTGGAGGGAGTGGTCCTCACATGATGGGCAGATACAATGTCACCAAGCCCTTGCTTAAAGCCTTTCCACTTTTAAAGAGACTTTCCAGGAATTATGCTCCTTTGGACTAGCTTTCAAGAATAACATATGATTCATTGATAATCATGTTATTTGCTCTTTTGAAACCAACTTTCCTTGACAGTGCTAGTTTTTAGCAGCACCTGGGAATAGCACTTCTGTAGCTGTTGGAAAATTCTAAGGTTGACATGATTGATGTGTTAAAAACATGAAGGACATAATTTCTGGAGTGCACATTGTCTTTGCAGCATGTACTTTACGGTGGCTATTAGCTTTAAACTAAGGCAACACTTTAGATTCTTATACTTCCAGGAAGATGGATGGGCAGCTTTAAAAATGAATCCTTGATTTTATCATTACCTTGATTTAGAAATGCTTCCAATATTTACAGTTGTAATGGTTCTACAGTTGGGATGTGAGTGATATGCTTCACCTTTAATGGGAAAAAAAATGTCTGCACATCTTTGAATTGTGGTATCTCATCCCTAAATGCTCCCATCTTCCCATACATATGTATATATTTCTGTCCTGAGATGATTCTCTGCATGTTTTTCAGCCTTTGGATTATGAGATTTCGGCATTTCACACACTACTGATCAAAGTAGAAAATGAAGATCCATTGGTTCCTGATGTAGCATATGGCCCCAGCTCTACAGCCACAGTCCAGATAACTGTCTCAGATGTAAATGAAGGTCCGGTTTTCCACCCAGACCCCATGACAGTGACCAAGCGTGAGAATATCACTATTGGCAGCATGCTGTTGACGGTAAATGCCACAGACCCTGATTCCTTGCAGCATCAGACCATTAGGTGAGTATATTATTATCCAATCTAAACCTGGAATGGGAAGTGTAAATGCCTGTTCTGTCTGTAGAAGCTGGTTGTCAGGTGCAACATAGCATTAAATTAAACTTGTTAGAGACCTGGAGAAGGCACAGGAATTTGTCATAATGAAAAAAGTTTTGAGGTGATGGAACTAAGAACTCTATTAGTTAGCTGAGAGATAACAACTTTGCCTCTCATGAGGCTGAGCAATAAGGCAAACCTGAGCATAAGAAGTCAGAGAGACAAGGTTAAGTTGTAGTTCATTGTAGAGCTGTCAAGTGATGAGTAAAATGTAGGCTTTAGATGCTGTGGAATGGCATCAAAGATGCCTGTCCAGATAGAGCTTGGACTAGATGACCCCTGAGGACCTTTCAACCCTGACTCTGTAATTCTGTGATAAGAGTGTAGGGTTGGTAACTACCAAGAGAGAAATTGTATTTGGAGTTATTATATACTGATAAAAGTGTGTGGGAGTGGGAAAGGGGAACAGATAGAGATTTCAGAATTGCTAGACCCATTTCTTAGATTATGTATGAGGATTAAAAGTAGTTATTGTCAGATTAGTATTAAGCAGACTATGATTAACTAATGCTTCAGAATTTGAAGCTGTAAAATGAATACTGTTCTTTGTGAGATATATGTGTGTATATATACAGATGTCTGTCTACATGCAAATATGTGAACCTGTGATTTTACTAATGTAAGAAATGCCTGATGAAGAAACTCGCCCCATTGATGTGCATCAATAAGTGGTAGGACTCTGAGAGGTTCATGGAATCAGATTTAGAGTTGGAAGGAAGCTCAGAGCTATTAATTCTACCTTGCTGCATTTTATAGATGCAGAAACTGAGTCACAGAAAGGTTAAGTCACTTGGTTGTGGTCACATAGCTCCTATGTCTTAGAAAGATAGGATTTGAAATTAAATCTTCCTGACTCTAAGGCTAGCCCTCTACAGCCTCTTATGTGTTCTGTTGCCTCTCTTGCTTTCTTGTTACTTAATAACAAAGTTTCATCCATATGAAGCTCATATGTGTATATATGTATACAAAAGCCTAACCTGCTTTTCAAAAGATATGTGTGTATATGTATGTAAATTAAGATCCTATGTAAAAAAATCTACAAATTGGCTTTTAAAGTCCTCCTTAACTTAGCTCCAGTGACCTAGACTCTTTGCTGTTCTTCCCACGGTACTCTCTGTCTCTTGACTCTAAGCATTTTCACTTGCTGCCCTGAATGCCTGACATGCTCTCCCTCTCTCTTCCTCTCCACCTCCTTACTTCCCTGGCTTCCTTCAAGTCTCAATTAAAATCTCACCTTTTATAAAAAGCCTTTTCCAAGATGACTCCCCTCCCCATGCCAGTGCTTTACCTATATTTATGGTTTGAACATAGGTGCTTGTGCGTTTTGCATGTTTGCCTGCCTTTTGTGAGCTCCTTGAGAGCAAAGGCTGTCTTTTGCCTTTCTTCATATCTTTAACACTTAGCACAATACAAGGCACATAGTAGGTGCTTAATTAATGCTAGCTGATTGACTGATTGACCCCAAATCTTTTCCTCAATAACTGACTTGCTTCCCCCCCAAAAAAAGATCTATTTAGATAGATAGATATAGATATAGATATGCATATATGTGTATATATGTACACATATATATTTACACATGGGCATACACATATCCATACACATGTATGTATTTATACACATATCACAAATATATAATTCAAAACTTATAAAATGTAATATATCCAAACAAGCTTAGTTGTATGCTTCTCTTTTCTTCACTTCAAAGAAAACAGATATGGAAAAGAGAAAACTATTTTCCAAATCCACTGAAGAAACCTATTTTGCAACAAAACTTTCTGAAGTTTTGATCAACAGGATAAAAATTAGAAAAGAATGCCTAAGCCCTATAAAAATGTGAATCTGAAATAGTAATCTTCTTTTACATAGAACCTGGGAAAGGAAATGCACCATTTAAATATCAGCAGGAATGCTTTACTTAAGTGCCTCTGTGGAGAGACCTCTAGCTCAAAGGAACATCAGCTAGTCTTCAATTTTCAGATGTCTTCAGGGAAGTTTAAATGTAATTTTGTGATGCTAAAGTAAGGGTTGAAATAGGTGGCTTTTCCTCAGGGAGAATAAAATGGAGTAAAATGTTGCTGATACATGAAGTAACTTGGGTGGAGAAGAATGGCCTTAGTTTAGTGGATAGATGGAAGTTGGAGTATGACATAGGGGCATTAAAAATAATGAAATAGCTTCACACTTCTGAAGTGGTACATAATCTCCCAGGTTTCAAATTTTAGCATCAGAAAATCAAGTTGAAGTGATAGAAACAGTTTGCTTTTCTGCAGGTGGAATATCTAAGAGCTCCCCTATTTACAAATCAGTCTTTGCCAATTATGTCTTCTTACTGATCAATTTCTTAAGTAAAAAAACAGAAAGTCAGTATGCTCTTGCTCATTTCTTTGACTTGCTTCCTTAGAGAAACCTGTTAATCAATTACTGTCACTTATATTTGCTGAGGAATGGGTAAACATTATGGGCCTCATGGCACAGGTCAGCATGACAGTGGGGCTCTTGGGTCCATTGCACTCAACCTGGAACTTGTCAGAGTCCTCTTCCTCTCTGGGAGCTGGTAAGAAGTTCAGTAATAGCCAGATTATATCAGTGCCAGGATGTGTTGTGTTTGTGGGAACCATTTTGTGGGAAAAGGTTCAATTATCATTTGCAAACTTTAATCTTGCACTATGAGAAATGATATCTCATGAGATTGGCAATTGCAGGTGAGAAGTCTTGGGGGCAGAAAGGGAAAACTGTCTAATAATCATGATCCTGATATAGAAATACAGTCAGAATCAATTGCCTTGAGAGATTCTTTGGAAAAAAAAACCCCACAATATTCTGTTGGGAAAACACATGGTGCATAATAGATTTTAGAAAAAAGATCACTAAGAACACTAATTTGTTTCTTAAGTGGAGTTCACTATTAAGTTAATTAAGAGTCAATTAAAATGTTCCTTAGCCTCCATCTCCTAAAGAACCTTCAGGCCTAGAAAAAAGCAACTTAATTCAACAGTGATCTCTATAGGTTCTGGGACTATCAATAACTGGGAACCAGTAATTTAATAATTATAAAACATTTGATCCATCACCTAAAGCTACAAAACATCCCAGGAGAAAATCTCATTTCAATTCAACAAATGTATTTTTAGATCCTATTAGGTACAAGTCTCTGGGGTACAAAGACAGAAAATAAGACAGTACTTGCCCTTTCAGAGCTTATCTTTTATTCGAAGGCTGCAACACATGTACAGATAAGTAAATAAAAACATACTTTTTTTTTTTTACTACATTTGTGATTTTTAAGTCTAGGACAGGGGCAGCTAGGTGGCACAGTGGATAGAGCCCTGGTCCTGGACTCAAGAGGACCTGAGTTCAAGTCTGCCTCAGACACAGAACAATTGCTAGCTGTGTGACCCTGGACAAGTCCCCATTGCCTAGCCAAAAAAAAAAAAAAAGTTGAGGGCAGTGATTTTCAAGGTTTTTGGTTTCAGGACCCCTTTACACTCTTAAAAAATACAGACTCCTGCAAAAAGCTTTTTTTGTGGGTTATAGTTGTTGAAATTTTTTTATTCATCTATTTCAGTCATGTCTAATTCTCCGTGACCCCATTTTGAGTTTTTCTTGGCAAAGATACTAGAATGGTTTGCCATTTTCTTCTCCAGCTCATTTTACAGACAAGGAACTGAGGCAAACAGGATTAAGTGATTTGCCCAGGGTCACACAGCTAGTAAGTGTCTGAGGTAAGATTTAAACTCATAAAGATGAGTTTTCCTGATTCCAAGCCTAGTGCTCTATCCACTGTGGCACCTAGCTGCCTCATTGAAATTTATCATATTCAAAATTAAAATATTTTATTATTATTATTATCAAAATAGTTTTTGACCTAATAAACACAGTGAGAGGGTCTCAGGGACCCTTAGGAGTAGCAAGACCACAGTTTGAGAATCTCTGGTTTAGGGAAATCCTCATGGAAGATGAAGGCTTGTAATTTTCTCAGTCTTTGAAGTTTTCGATGGCACCAAGAGGCTATGTGACTTGCCCAGAGACACACAATAGTATGTGTTAGAAATGGGACTTAAACCTAGGTCATTTTGATGCTGAGATGAGCTCTCCCTCCATGCACGATGTCATGCTAGTTTTCATTTACAAAGTAATTTCGAGAAGAAGAAGAGAGCACTGGTTACAGGTCAACAAGAACAAGCAGTAAGAGGCCAGGAAGATCAGCAAAGGTCTTAAGTAGAAAGTAGCACTTGAGCTGTATGTGTTCTTGCTTTGGGTGAAGGTCCCCAATCTTTACCAAACTATTTATTCAACAGGTAAATTTTCCTCATTATAGAATCAGAGTAAACAGTTGACCTAATCTTTAAATCTGAAAAACTCTATGTCTGCCAGAGGGACAGCCAGGTGATATAATGGATAGAGCACCAAGCCTGGAGTCAGGAAGACTTGAGGCTTAGACACTTACTAGCCATGTGAGCCGGTACAAAACACCTAACTCATTTTACCCCAGTTTTAACTGGTCCCTGGGGCATCCCTCTAAACTAACATCCTTCTCACCAAATTATAGGCTTGTGTCTCTCAATCTAACATTTTACATGAGGAATATCCATTCGACTGGTGATTGCCACTCTCTTCTGTTTTATCCTATCAGGAAAAATAATTACGCGACAGCTAGGTGGAATAATGGGCAGAGCTTTGGATTTGTAGTCAGGAGACCCTAATTTGAATCCTGCCTTAGGCACTTAACAGCTGTGGACCCTGGGCAAATCATCACCTTTTTCATCCTCAGCTTTTTCATCTTTAAAATGGGAGTAATAATAGCATGAGCAAACTAGCAATGCTAGGACAGCAAAGTGGTGCAGTGGATAAGAGTAGTGAGCCTGCAGTCAGGAAGACTCATCTTCCTGAGCCAAATCTGG